CTACAGTTCACCCACTGTAATAAGCCTTTACCTATGCATTTCAAAAATTATTCACGGAGCTAGTTATATGGGTATCTGCAGGGTTATTTACTTAAGAGAATTTCAAATTTAAGGGCAGAGTAGCCAAGCTGAAAGCAGAGATGAATTTTTCCACTTTGGCTATTTTGCTCTTAAATATGAATTTAACTTTAAATTATCTCTTTAGTAAATATCCCTTAATGGTTGTTGCGAGTGCACCTGCACATTGCATGTTTCACATTTTAATTACAGATAATTTTTTAGTTAATACATGTTTGTTTTTCTGATTGTTTTTTGTATAATGTTCCAGCTGGGATCGGTACAGGTGTATTTAAATGTTTCTAGTCCATTTTATCGTTTACGATCAGAGATCAAAAACTTTGACAATATCCTTTGCAGATTAGATTTAAGTCTTGTTAGACCGTCTGATAGTGAGTGGCTTCATTGTGGCTTAACATAAGAAATCCCTGTGACCTTAACATCATGTATGCCCAAGGGGTGGGCATTTCAGTAGTTAAATCTCAGAATCTCAAGATTCCATTGAGAATTCTAAGTACTTTCAATTCAATCTGAGACCCCTTGGGTTTCCACACTGTGGATCCACCACTGAAAGCTGTTTCTTTTTTATCTGATTACTTTGATTGTCTTTTTGTGATTGGTTAACCCTTCAAGACCATTGCCAGTTGAAAAGTCTCACAATATCCAGGGAATTCCAGTCTTGAAATTATTAACAAAAAAAAAACCTTAATCACATTTCAATATTTAATTCAATTTTTTTTTTTTGTATGGCGGTGTAGTTTAATTTCCAGTAAATGCAGGGGTGTTTGTTAAGCAGGTCAGTGTTGAATAATGTATTGTTCCTCTTCTGCACGTTGCAAAACACAGAAGAGACTTTTTCACAATTTCCTTTTTTTTTTTTTTTAAATGGTGTAGCTTTTTATCAACTTGGGCTTCCACTTCTAACAGATATATTTACTTTGTCAAAACATTTATCAGGTTTAACCACTTAAGGTTCATATAACATTTACAATATATAGTGATGTTATAGTGACTTTCTTTGAGTTGTGCCAATCAAAAAAACATACTTGGTACCTAGTGACAGATGCTCAGATAGCTAAGAGTGCCTCGTTCCTCCAAATGTTGTTGAACTTCTGTAATTATTGAGGATTTTTAAATGTGGTCCAATATCTGCGTTAAAGGTCAGCCGGTAAAAACATTAGGTTTTTGGTATAAATTAGTGTGTGTTTTTGTTTTCTCAATAAAAAATACCAGGCTGAGATGTGTTAAAAAAATAAAGAAAGAAAGAATTGCATTAGGTTGTCTAGTAAATAGGATTAGCTTTTAGTTAAAGATTACCGCTGTGTGTGACAAAAATAGCTTCCTTAGAGAGTTTGATCTTTGAGTGTGTAGATTTGATTGTCATTGGGAATGATGATGTCACCTTTTAACTTTCTAAAACAAAAGTTTTCCTGGTGACAGGTACTATGCATGAATCAGCGCTACGGAATATGTTGGCGCTTTTTAAAGGCCAGTAAAGAAATAAATTTAAAAAAATTGATAGGTGCCAGTCTTAAGGCAGAGGTGGCTAATTGTGTCCCCTCAACATTTGCAAAGTAATTTTATGTGATGCTTGGCTGGTCTTGTTAAGCATCACAGGTAATGTGGCTTTCAAAAATCTCGAGTCACAAGGTAAGCCTTCTCAGTGAGGCCTAGGGTTTGCTTTGATCAAAACCAAAAGACATTCATTCGCCCCTCCTTTCTGTTCTGTGTCTGCTACAGGACGTGTGAATGCTTTCTGATCATGTCAATTGGCTTGTAATGAGTGACTGCCCACTCTTGAGAAAGCGTGAATTCATACGTTTTTGATTTCCCTTTCATTAAATAAATGGTCTGCACGTTAGCAAGCGGCAGTGGCATTGGATACACATATATTGTAGCCAGATATTTTCCCAAAAATAAACAATTTCTAGTGAGAAATCTCTTCTGCTAGAAAACGTGAATGATCTGTGTTGCACGC